TATTATAAATCAGTTTATTAAAGAAAACAGATACATCTGAGAACTACTGTTTCAGTTATCTGTGGGACACCTGTCTTTCCAGCTTTGTAAGTAAATTGTCTCGTCGCTGTTCCTAGTTTGGAGGAAAAGGTTGCCTTTCCTCAAGAGAAGTAGCCTTGCAAAAAAAAAAAAAAAACCCAAAAAAACCAAACCCCAAGCATTTTGCAAATCGGAGGGAACCGAAGCCAACCGCGGGCGCTGCCGAGATGGCGAGATGGCATCTCCTACACGCGGGGGAGCCAGAGCCCACCGGAGGCCACGGCCCCGGCACACGCAGGAACAAGCGCCCGAAGACGTGGACAAGGGTGAGTGGCGTGAAGCGCTGGTGCAGCGATTGCCAGTTTGTCTGTCAGCCCCTTCTCCCCTTCACAGCTTGCGGCAAGCTTTGTGCTCTTTGCTTATTTTAAAGGCGTTTGCTACCAGAGCCAACGGCTACTCTCTCAGAGCTTTAGAAAAACAGGCTTAACCTAGAAGAGAAACTAATGAATGCTAATTATGTAAATAATTAATGCATTTTAGGGATTGGATTCTAAAAAAAAAAAAAAATTGAATGCAAAGACCATCAGAACAGATGACTTCCAGAACTGGAAATATTCTTTCCTTTGAACTGCTTTGAGACTGAAAAGCTTTAGCTCTTTATTTTTCATAAGACACTGTGCAGGTAAAAGTACTTTGAAGACTACAAAGAATAAAAAAGAGTTTGATGCCTCACTTTTCTGTGAGATTGAAGTAGTTGATGAGAGTAGCGACAGCCAGTGATCTGACCCAGAAGCCACTTCCTTGATAAATCTGCAGCACGACAGTTGCTTGAGTTAGCCTGTTGCATCTGTGAAAATTCAAACACTATCTGCTCAGAAGAAAAAGCAACGGGGAGATGTCACCGGCAGGTTTACCCCTGAGGAGGCTGGTCTGGCATCTTTAACACCGCTCGGGGCGAGTTCCAGAGAAGGCTTCCTTAATGTTTCCATTAAACCAAAAAGAGATTTTCGACCTTTTAGCGACTCCTTATCAGGTTGGGTGCTAAGCTGGATGTGGGCCACCCGTGCACTCCTTACTGCAAATAAGGCAAAGCACAGCCTGGGTTCCCTTAGGAGAAGCACAGCCGGCTGGCCAGGTGTGCCAGGCCACCAAACCCCTGCAGTCCAATAAACCCGGCTGTCCCTTCCCTCCGCCTGGCCCGGGGCAGGGCCCCTCTGTGCCTGGAGGGAGCGGTCATTACCAGATTCTCGTAACTCCAAACCAGGAGTTCCTCATTCGGGTCAGGAGTATCAGCCCTTCTGCTCTGTCCAGGGAATTGCTCAACAGCAGCCGGAGTGGTAATTGTCCTGTATGAACCCTTTTTTTGGCCACCGTTTTTCCTCACAGTTCACACCTCCCCCCCAGCTTTCAGGTGGGTTCACCACCCCGCTGCCTCACGTCCTCGTCGTGGTCGTGCAGGCAGAACCGCAGGGCGGCACGCGAGCGTGCCCACGGTGCACACCCCCCCCCCCCCCACGAGCAGAGAACAGCTGGGGCGACGGCCGGTATGGGCGAGGGGGACGACACGCTGCCTTTGAACGACGGGAGCTGTTGGGACTGCCTCCCCCCGGCTGACACACGGGGATTCCCCCGCAGGATTGGGGTGGAAGGGAGCTCCTCCTCGAACCGCTGGAGCTGGCCGGCCAGCCCACCCGCAGTCGGGGCCCCGGCGGCCGGCCAGCTCGTCAGCCCCGGGGTGCTGGCGGACGACGGCGGCGAGCTCCGTGCAGACTTTGGCTGCGTGGACCGCGCGCGCTGGACTTCATCTGGGTTTTCGGATGCCTGGTGGTTGTCCAGGCTGCCGCAGGTCACCTCTACCGCTGCTAATTCCCTCAGATACTGGATACCGCTCTCAGTAGTTGTCCACTTGCCTCCGTAGTTTACCAGATCCTCCTGGAGAGGACACCCTTCCCTCGGGCCCAACGGGAGCTGCCTCCAGAGGCTGCTGATTGTTGCTCCTTTTCCAAACCCTTTGTCAATGCCCCGGTCCCTCACAGGGGGATCCCAGCTGCGGAGCTTCCTTGCCTTCCAATTCCTGGCCCCAGTATCCCTGCATTGGAGCAGCCAGCTGATAATTAGCTGGCCGGGTTGACGGCTGTAATCTTTGTGCATATCTTGCAGCTCGCTCAGGGATAAGGAGCTGGCGATTTCTGGCTCATTTGCGATTTCTGCCTCTTTCCCCTCCTGTTCTTGTGACTGCTCTGCTGCACAATCGGCCGCCTCTGATTCCTCCTCCCCCTTAAGAGCAGCTTATTCCTCCCTGTCTGAACGGGTTGCCTTCTGCTTCCATTGTTTCTTCTTTACTACAGGGGCGACTGATACAGTTGAGAGTTGGGTCTCTGGCTTAGCCACGGTACCTGTTTGTATGTCTTCAGATCCAGAGACCCTCTCTCCCCACTGAAGGGGCCGAACAGTGCTTGGTAGGCACAGGCCAGGCCCAGCACCGTGCGAGAAGTTGTGTCCCTTTAGCACAGCCAGGGCATCCTTTTCTCAAACGTTCTGTCACTTTATCGGGATCCTGCGCTTGTTCGGGCGTCAAGTCCCACACCATCGGAGGTGAAAGCGGTTCTAGACACCTGCCCATGTTCTCCCAAGCACCTTGCCCCAGCCACACTGCCTCAGGGCACATCCCTGTGTGGTGTCCCTAAATAGTCAGTTAACCTTAGGAAAAGCTGGAAACAGATTCTTGAGGCAGACCGGTGTGAGCATTCAGATTACCCAGGGATGTTCAAAACACTGAAGAGTCGTCGTCGTAACAAGGTGGAAAGCAACTACCCTGCAAGAGCTGGAGGGGAAGGTGCCGTTCTTTTGTTTCCTCCACAAACCGGCTCTCAGAGGAAAAGAGGGAAAAGGTGTAATTGTTAATTGTCTCCACGAGATGGTTCCCGAAGTACTAGGACAGCAGCAGCGCAGGGCCTAAATACTAGATTAGGCTCAGGGCCAGTGCTTTCATCATAGTTCTCCCGGGCAAAACATAACCGAGTGCTACACAGCACAGCAAACTGCAACAAGCTCTCAAATTTGATGTGCAGCAAGGGAGGGAGCATGACACAGAGCGGGTAAGGGAACTAATGAACCCACATCGAGAAAAAGAAGTCAACACTGTGACCAGCAGCAGCTGAAGAGGTATAAGAAGTTCCCTTTAGCACACTCCAGCCAAATGCCTCGTTATCTCGAATCCTGTGTATCCCACACCGGGTGCCGAAAGGGACTGTGGTGGACTCACCCTGGCTGGCAGCTAAGCACCTCACAGCTGCTCATTCACAGCAGGATCGGGGAGAGAACCGAAAGGGCAACAGTGAGAAAATTCACGGGTTGAGTTAAGGACAGTTTAATAGGTAAAAAGGTGAAAAAATGAAAAGAGAGCAAAATAAAGAAGCCACGCCACAGCAGTCACCATCAACCGGCTGATGCCCAGCCAGTCCCCAAGCGACAGACCCCCTGGAACACCCTCACACCCCATCCCCAGTTTTTATTGCCGAGCATGACGCTATCGGGCCAGTTCGCGCCAGCTGTCCCAGTTGTGCCCCCTCCTCGCCCACCAGCAACCCACGCGCTGGGCATCACGGCGCGGAGCCGAGAAAGCCTTGGCACTACGCAAGCACTGTCGAGCAGTAGCTGAAGCATCGGTGCGTTCACAGTTTTGGTCACAAATCCAAACTGCGGCACCGCACGGGATGCTATGCAGAGAAATTAACTCCATCGCAGCAAGACCCAGTACCTTAGGGTAAATTTTTGTTCTCCTTACCGTACCTGTCGAGTCTGCTCCTGAACCGGCCTATTTCGGGCTCGCAGCCCAACAGGGATGATATGAAGGTCATGCAGGTCACTGGAGGGCTACCCCGTTGTGAAAAACATAGAATCATTTATATCATCATCAGCCAGGGCCTAGCACAGGTGGCTACCCGGAGAGGCTGCCGGAGCTGGGGCTGCTCCGGCTGGTAAGAGGAGGCTAGCGGGCAATGGAACCGCAGCACACAGCTGCAGGAGAGGGAATTAGCAAAGCCAGCGGAGCCAAACGATTCCTGGCAGTGGCAGGCGATAAATAACGGGCAACGGCCACCAGCTGTGGTGAGAGAAGTTCATGCTGGACATCAGGGAAAACTCCTTCACAAGGAAGGTGGAGCGGCACTGGCTGCACGGGGAACCTGGGGAAGCTCCATCCCTGGTGGTTTCCAAGACCAGACTTTGTGTTGGAATAGATAGGAGACCGGACTTGGTGACTTTCAGAAGTCCCTTCCAGCCAACATTTCTGTTCCAAGTACCTCACTTTCCAAACCACTTCACAGTGTCATCCGTGGAGCCAGAAATGCTCAGCTGGCAGTTACGTGACTCCATCACGGACCTGCGAAACAGCCATTCTAGCCACCGCAGACATGCTCTTTGTAGGAGATTAATTTAGTTTGGTTTAAAAAGCAGTTGGGACCTTGCCCTGTATTTTGTGTACCCGTGGAATGGTCCAGCAATGCAATACCTGGGATGAGTTCAGAGGACAGCTGTGTCTGGTTGAAGAGCTGGGTAACCGAAGCAGACGGCGCGAACGCCACCCCCCAGACCACGGGCCTCCCTCCCCCCGACCTCCTCACAGAGGTAGGGGGGGAAAAGGGATCCAGGAGATAAAAATAAAAGCAGAACAGCCTTAAGGTTCCACCATTGCTCAGAAATTGTACAAGGTGTGGGGGGTATATTAACACACAGCGATGACTAATTCACCCAGAGTTTGACAGAGCGGTAGAATACTTTGCCTGCAGTTTACCTGGAGGAAATGAGACAGCAGAAATTTCTCAACAATTACAGGCAAACATCTTAAACACAAGATTACTTTGTGATATCGATAAGGAATAGTTAATGTTGATTTTTTTTTTTTTTTAAATTAAGGTTGAAGAATAGTTTGAGAGCAATCGGAACATTCTGGTGATAAAAATACAAAAGAAAAAAAGTCATTGATTTTTGCTGGTTTTCCTTTATTAGTAAAAAGTACAAATAAAAAAATTGTACTTCCGTGAAAAAATAAAGCGGGTGTACACAGTTTTGCAGCACGTTTGGTATTTCTTTCACACAACTGAGGTGACATGGCTCAGAATATCTCCAGCAGACCCAAGCTTCTTGCAGCCCTAAATCATTATGAACTGATTAGCGCAGATGTAAGACGAAGAGGTGATGTATGGTTCCTACTAGATGCAATATGTGAAAATCAGAGCCAAAAAAAGCTGAACTGTGACTCCGGTTGAATTTAGGTACTTATTTCAAGCACGTTTTACGTTAGCAGAACTTCAGGGAACTTCACAGGCGAAACTATACCATGGTTAGCTAAGGCAGAGGCCCGTGACTGCCGCTGCCTGGTGCTCCTCTCCTGTCTCCAGCCTTCCTGCTGCAGCGACAGCACTAATGCAGGCTGGAGTGCCAGGGGCGTGGGAAGAGAGAAAATGCCAGGGGGCAGGCACGAGAAAGAAAGTGCAAGCAAGAAGGGGTCTGGTGTTGAAGTCATTCTCCAGAACAAAGCGAGTCCCGAGTTGCGGATGCTGCTCCTAAACAAAGATCGTGTGTCGAGGTTGCTTATTACACATATAATATTATGGTACGATATAGGCATATATTACACAGAATCTTATGTACATTATGCAGGGTGTATTTTCAGTGTCTTTTTAGAGGATAGAGAGTTTTTATTTATATTTTGCATTCGGTGGAATGCAACACGCTGGTCTGTGACAAACAAGCTGTGTGACAGGGGGAAGGAGTGCAGGGGGAGAAGGAGGGAGGAGAGAATTTAACAGAAATAACTCCACTTAGTGTTTGAGTGAGGGATGTAATGAAATCTGTTTGCTGTGCTAGCTGTCTCCAGATTGGGCTGTAATTACACCACAGAAGGAAGAAAGGTAGCTGAGTCTCAATCTAGATCATTTATGTAAACTCAGCCTTCTTGTCAACGGCGTTCTCAGATTGCACGCATGCAAACCGCAAAAATCATCTCCTATGAACAAAACAGAGACAGTCTCAAATTGCAGGCTTCTGATACACCTTATATGCTGTCTGTAATTGGACTTTAAAATTCAACACACCGGGGTTCAAAACTTCTCCAGTATTTTCTGCGGTTTATTCAGTGCGGTGAAAGACTGTACTCACAGAAGAGCGCTCCTCCTTCCCTTCTGCCAAAGGCCGATGTCTAGCCTTACAAATTAACATTTATTTGGCTTAAATGAACGCGAGTGTCAGAAACCCGGGAAATTCTTTTGTGTAAGACCGTGTCGAAACAAACTGCTGGATCCGAGGGAGGGATGTTCCCTCCCCCAGAAGAGTTGGAGAAACCTCATTCTTTGACCTAGAGCAACACACTATATACGCACAGTATAAAACCCAGGCAATCAGTTCCCTTAACAGAGCCAAATTAATATTTGATTAAATATTTTAAAGCTCCTACTTACCACGCTTGACACATTTTCTCAGCAAGTTTCTCAAATACGGAAAGCATTAGGCACAGGGTAATTTTACATTTGGATACATAAAAACAGTGTGAGGAGACATGACTGCAGGCAGGCAGGGAGAGGATTTTCCCCCCTTAATCCCCCGAACTGCCCCTTCCCCTTGATAAGCGGGTACGTTAATTCCCGGCTCCGGCAGCTCGCTCTCTCCGGGCAGGCTCGTGCAGGTTTCTTGAGACACCTGGATCTTCACGCCCCTCCATCCCTCCCTCCATCCCTCCCTCGGGCAGGAAAACCACCGGCCTCCGCCCTGGCGCCGTCCCCGCCGGTGCCCAATCAATACCGATTTATTTCCTGTCCATTTGCTGAGGTCACGGAAACGGGACTCATTAATTATTTCTACCAGTGCAGCCTCAAGTGTGCTTCTGGCACGACATAGCAAAAGCCGGCTGTGACCTTTTTTTGTTTTTTTTTTTTTTTTTTTTTTTTTCGCTTCCCCCCTCCCGAATGTTGCCGGCGGGGGCCGTTGCGCGTTCCCCGCACGGGGCCGGGGAGGTGCGGGGCGTCGCGGGTGTCCCCCGCCGGGTCGCTCCCGCTGGCGGAGGGGGAGCAGCTCCTCCCGGGGCGGCGGGGGGTCAGGGAAACCTGGTCACGGCGTAGACGATGTTGGCCAAGGCGGCCCTGGCCTCGGAGGGAGGGAAGCTCTCCAGGGCCGCCAGCGCGCTCTTGCCGTGGCCGCGGCACAGGTCGATGGCAGAAGTCACACCTTTGCCGGCCTTGATCGCTTCCTGCAGCTGTCAGAAAACACAGGCACAATGAAGAGGCGTTGGTTTTTAGTTTTTTGGTTTTTTTTTTTTTTTTTTTTTTTTTTTTCTTTCAGCAGTGCCGATTATCTCTGAGAGCACAGGGCTTCCACCGCCCCCTCCCGAGGTGAAGGCAAGAGCCGAAGCCGTCAGAGCTCGTCCATGCGCTCAGCCGCTCGGCTCTGGCTCCCCACTACAGCAAAACTGCAGGTTATTTAAACTGCATCACCCGTTACTTCATCAGCTGAAAGATGCCAGCTCTCCAGAGGGCACACTTGATTTGAAAAAAAAAAAAAAAAAAAATTTTTTTTTGAAATATCTGTGCATTTCATACGTAAAGCCACTGCCTGAGAGCTTTTGTGCAGAACGGGCTTGCTCACACCCTTGCTTTCTGCAGTCAAAAACTGGATTTTATGACCACCCATTCAATCCCATTTTTTGGAAACAGGCACAGGAGGACACGTGTTGAACGCCTGCCTTTTGTAATATAGGTTTCTATTTATATACCATATGATTACATTCGGTACAGTGGACAAAAGCAGATTTTGTCAGTAAAATGGGGTGCGTTAAACTTTATTGCACTGAGCTATATCCATTGTAAACTCAACCTTCTGAGGAGCACTAGGGAATTTGACAATGGCTTGGTGATACATCGTATGAGAAAGAAAATATTTGTGTAGAATAACAGACATTTCATGGCAAGCTGCTGGAAAGATTTGGCACCTAAAAAACTTGGGCAAATGACAGGTCAAATTTCCTATGAAACAACACAAACAAAAACAACAAACAAAACATGTTGTTTTTTCCCAACTTAGTTGAAGCTCTAAATAATAATCACACTTATTAAGGGCTTTTTTATTTTTACTTCTTCCTAAACAGCATCACGAGACTGTCATGAAACACTCTTACCTTTTCCACCCTAAAATACAGGTGTCCCCAGACCAACTCCTGCCTGATGCCTCATGCCAGAGCCTGGCAACCGAGGCCAGGTGGATCTTTGGGATTTGATTATCCCAAAAGTATGAGAGCATTTCATAATCTTTAATGTGACCCACCTGGCTCTCGCAGCTGGCTCACATCAATCCCTGTATCAGCTTTTAAATAAAAGGGCTTTTCCTGAACACAGGTATCTACAGTAACTACTTATATAGAGTTTTATAAATTATGTTTTTCTCTGATACACAGTCCGATGCCCCAAATAATTCACAAATGCATCAGTATAACCTTATTTATCTAGTTTGAATCATATAAAAACCCCCTAAGCTATGACCACCTCGTAAAAGTTACCCATTTTATGCAGATACTTGCATTCATACAGAATGAAAGACATTTCTTATCTGAATACAAACTGAAGTGGATTCATTATCTGTGTTTAAAGATGAAATTAGCTGAAAGCACACTACAGCACTTGAGTGTTCAGGTCCCAGTTCATAAAGATTTTATTCTCCACTTCAGTTAGAATCTTCCTGCGCTGCGTGCTGGAAAGGAACTTGCCCCGAGGCACAGACGCATTGCATAGCTAATCCAACAGGCCTTCTGAGGAGCGGGAGTCAGCCACATAACCACAGCCCCACAGCAAAGGTGGGGAGAGGCGGGGGGGGGGGGACGCCGGCCCCGGGAAAAGGTGTTTCTTCCCCCTTCCTTGAGGCACAACTTCGGGAGACGGTAGAACCCACACGTCTTGAAGCAAACTCTGCTGCTTTGCTAAAGCTCATTAAAAAGGTTTGGGGTACCTTGTAATACGCATTTCAGCAGATGCTGAGATGTAAACAGGAAAGAAAACGGCTCCTAAGTAGTCTTCAAACCGGTCAGAGATCAGCAGAGCTCAGCTATGATTGCATCTGTGTTCTACGACTTGCTTGTAACACCAAAATCTGGAAAGGGGGAGAATCCTAACGCAAGGACACAATCCGTTTACACGCTTGTCTTGCGTAAGCCCTTCACACACGCAGTGCCTTGCAGCCAAGACAACTGCAAAGCTCGTGTCAAACTATATGCAGAGGAGTCGCTATCCAAAAATCAGACTAATCCGCTATTGAATGTTTTCAAGCGGAGCTCAAGGAACCTCAAAATGAAAAATACTTGCTCATACGGCAAGCTCCTTCCTTTTCAGCTTTTCAGTGAGAGGTCGTCCTAGGTAATGAACAATTTATAGTCCTTAAAAACGTTATCTATTTTATATTCCATTTGCAGAATCAGTTGGTCAACTCAAATAAGCATACACTGAGGCAAACCAGTCTGGATTAACCAGACTGCATTCTGCCTCTATCTCAGCTGGGACTGTAAAAGTGGAGGGGAAAAAAAAAAAAAAATAAAAGAAGATGAAAAAGTAAAAAAAAAAAAAAAAAGTACAAATTGGGCTTCTCATAGTGGGATAGTTATTAAAGAAACACAGGATATAACTCCATAGGATACCAGGCTTCAGTAGCCCTGCTGTACGCAAAAAAAACCTAATTAAAGACTTCAGCTGTACCGTTAGCTGTATTACAGTTACGCTTTCATACTCTCTCTTAATTTTTGAGCTTCAATGATTTTATGTAATAAACTTCACAAACTAAGCACATAGAAAAAAAAAAATCAATGTATCCAGTTTAGATGTATTATTTTTTAATTTCATTTGGATAGGAACAGCTAATTTTTGAGGCAAATAAACAGAAGAGCAAAATGAACTGCTTTTATTTGTTACCTTATAAACTTTAATTAAGCTCCTCACTAATTTCTTCTAAAGAAAGGAATCTGCTCTTTTAGTCTCTACTTAAATGGCATCATTTTGTGCATCAAACTTACTTCCACTTGCAGGAACAATTTCATCCATCATTAAAACACAATCTTCTTCAGAGTGGCATTCAATAATTAAAGCTGAATACAAGTCAAAATACAGATTGCTTCAGCATGTTTTTCTCCAGTTGAACTGCTAGATATGCTGGAATACTGCATTTTAACTTTTAAGCTTTTGTTCAGCCCACTGGCGCTAAAGCCCAACTTCACCCTAAAGGTGCCAAGAATCTGAAAAAAATCATCAACTGGGTTTTGGCTATTTAAATTCATCTTAAAGAACGTATCTTGCAATAGCGCAGCCAAGTTATGACTCAGATGAGAAGTGATGCCCCTGCCCAACACACCAGCACTGTTGTCCTTCAGTACCTTCTGCTTCCCTCGGTATATTCAGATACCGACCAGGCCTGACAGTTTTGCCTGGTACACATAAAGCTCAGAACCCCAAAGTTTTACGTCTGAAGGTTGTTCTATAAATCTAAGGAAAAGTAATAGCAACACCATTATCTTCACAGTCGGGGGAAAAAAGATGCCTGGCTGAGCACTGAGAACGGAGCACATCAAGAGCCTTGCTCCATTCAGCCTGCTCTGTCTGTGCTAAGCCCGGCCTCATCCATTTGATCTGCAAAAAATTTACTTTCATTTCTTCTTATTCCCTACTCTTTGGCTGGAGGAAGGGATGGCTCTGATCAAGAGTTACAGAGTGATAGAAAATAGATATGGAAAGGAGACACGCGCTGAGGGCTTCTCATTCTGAATTCTCTGAATACACACAGGAGGACGAACTGCTGAGTGAGAGATTGGGCTCTATTTCTCCAGCTTCTTCCTTCTCTTCTCGTCACTTCCTTCTCTTCAGTCATCTTATACCAGCAAACCAAGAGGAGGAGAAAGGGGATGCTTTCTGAGCCCTTCCAACTTTAAGGTTGCTTTCCACTATCTCCCTCTGCACCCACATGCTCTAGGCATGTCCTACAAATAAATGGCAACAAGCTGTTGACTGTTCCTTGAAGATTGCCCCTTGGAAAACCATATCAGCACCTGGGTTTCAAGCCTCCATTTCCTATCCTTCAGGAGACAACCATAAGCACCAAATAGTCGGAGTTGGGGCATTTTCCACTCAATCCTCTGAGGTTTGCTGGGTCAAGAAGAGAATCAAAACCCTGAACAGCAGCCACTTTCTGTGAAAAGGGGGATCTGGGTTGAGGACCTCAATCTCAGGACTGCTTCCATCTCTCACATTAAAAGCCACGGGACAAGAGAGAGGTAGTTTTGGAGCAATAGCCATGTAACTGTATATAGCCCACTGACGGTCCTGGCCCTACACGTGGGAACAGACGGATGCTTACGGATGAGCAATTTACTTCTCTGTTCACTGATTTACCCTTCTAAGTCCACCATCAAACCAAAAGAGTATGCTGTGTGCCCCATCTCTGCTTATGAGCTAGTAAGACGTTAAAAGTAAGATATTATTTCCTGTAGTAGAGCAGAAGTGAATAGTAAAAAGAAAGCCCGTTGTCTAGGTCATACCATATATAAAATAGTAGCAAATTCACATTCCTGATGCTATTTTGTAGCATTAATATTTGGGGTGTTTTTATTAAGTACTTAGGTGCATTCACAAGAGATATTCCACATTTGGATTAACAACCTTGATAGGGTCTATACAATGTTTAGATTCTACTGACTTGTTACAAATATACAAACAGTAATGAAACGGTGATGGTGAATCTCAAAACCAACTGCAAGTTTCACACATGGTACTAAAAGGTCATGCAACAGAAGTTGCCTCTAATCAGATTTGACAACATTCAACTACATTCAAATCAATGACTAACAGGCCAAAAGGTCCACATCCTGTTTTTCTGACGTTTCAACTGTATTCTTTTTCCTTCACAGTTATCTACACACACATAGTTTATTCTTGAAGCAGTGTGTCCTTGCAGCAAAGGTCAGAAACCGCTGTGGGCTGCATTAGCAAGTGTAATCAGCAAGCCCCTGTTTGGGTCTTGTGGAACCATGTCTGGAGTGCTGGACCCGATTTTGGGCTTCCCACTAAGCGAAAGACATTGTCATACTGCAGCAAGTGCAGCGGGAGGCTACCCAGATGATACGGGGCTGGAGCAGTACGTGGTCTACAAGGAAATGCTGGGAATTGCTTAGTTCAGCCTTAAAAAGAGAAGGCTGTTATTGCTGTCCCAACCACCTCATGGGCAAGG